AGAAATGCTTGCAAAAGAACTGAATGATTAGAATAATTATTGAAATTCACTGGATTATTTCTCAAATATAATGCATGACAGTAGACTCTACAATTGTTTTGAAAAAATAGATTGCAACCATTTAACTCTTTGCGTTTACATGACATTTCAGAGGTATCTCGGTATCTTTCAAAGTACATATTTAATGTTTATTGAATACCAGGTGTCAGTCAAGGAATCCACGCGTACTTTCTGGTTGATACAACTTAATTATCATACTAAAAATTTATCGAAGAAATGATATTTTACGAAATCCAGTGTTTTATCATACATAATACATATTAGTTGCACACTGCACTTTATTGGGGTTTCTCTCTTCCCTATTTTTAGATTCTTGTGCCGGCAGTCGGATAGTTTCCCATTTCTTTTCTTCTTTTGAAATTAAAATGAATTTTGTCACGCTGGCAACAAGCTCATTCGTTTTTTCTTATATATATATATATATAATTTATTCGTTGATAAATTGCTCTTTAAGATAATAAAAATACTTTCGCAAATTGTTTATGAAAATCGTTGCAGTCGCTGTACATGTATAAACTAGAAAATTATGTGACGGATATGAAACAATTTTGTTTCTATTATAGATAGATTAGTAACTAATACTTCGAATTGTAAAATATTTACAATTTAATTAATTCTATAGAATACATTTTGTTTATTTGTTAATTAGAAATTTTGCATGACAGGATGAAAAAAATCATTAATAATTTGTTGAAAAGGAAAGTATTGTACTCGGGCTAAATAAAAGTGTGGCTTAAGTGTTCAATTTCGCATTCTATGCTTTAACGTTAAAGTGACAGATATTTTTGGTGAAGTAGAAAGAAGTGTTTGGTGAAGTGTCGATTTCCTTCAGTACATTGTTTTTCTTTACAGTTTTATCGTGTAATATAAGTGGGGATTCGTGAGATTATGGACGCCCCTTAGTAGCATGCGTGCGTCACGGCGCGTAGCGTCTTGTACGTGTACACTGTCAAGCCGAAATCGCGGTGTTAGTTACAGAACTGGCAACAAATCGATGTAAACAAGTATATAATAAAGATGGTGACAATATACGATTTTCTCGTCGTGACAAATTATCGCGAATGAATTTCGTACTTGATTTTATACATATCCGTACGGACAGAACGAAGTTAATTTCGACTACGGTCATACGATCATCGAAACATGCTGTATCCAATAAAGGTACATTATTTTCAGGACGCGTTGAACATACGGTTGACCTTGTACCTATATGCAATTCTTCTTTGTAGGTGATTACTTACAATTATAAACGTAAACCGATTATAAATTCTCAACAATATTGGAGTGAATTCGGTTGGAATAAACTTTTATTGGTTTTGTTATGAATTTGTTATCATGTAATATACTTTGTTTATGTAAGATTTTAAGAAAATTTTAATCAGACACTTTATTCAGCATTAAAAGTATTGTTCAGTGATGTTTTGGTTTTTCAGGAGCAGTCTCAAAATAACTTGCAAAATGTTTAGTTTTCACAAGCCAAAGGTGTATCGATCTAGTACAGGATGTTGCATTTGTAAGGCGAAGTCTAGCAGGTACACAATGAGATGACTTTCCATTACTGCAAAGAAATAATATCATTGTTTATCACCAAGAATTTGAAGAATAAAATGCAAAAATATTTTTCTGTACCTATAGCTCAAGATTTACAGACAGTAAAAAATACGAGGATGATTTTATGGAATGCTTTCAACTTGAGGAAAGACGAACTGGAGAAATTTGTAATGCATGCGTACTCTTAGTGAAAAGGTGGAAAAAATTACCTGCAGGAAGCAATCGTAATTGGAGACATGTGAGTTCCAACAAATACATTATTATTTATTTCATTTGTTTTTTTTATTATAGCGTTATCTATAAATTAAATTGTGATATTGTATAGGTTGTTGATGCACGTGCGGGACCTGGTATAAAATCACTAACAAAATTTAAATCAAAAAATAAAAAGAAAATAAAAGATATGCCAGAAAAATTTGAAAAGATTATGAAAAAGAAACATATCTATTTGAAAACAGACAGAGATCGTGAACAAAGTCCAGCAATGAGCGATGATTTAACAGGTTGGTAGTAAGAATGTAATCATTGATTTAAAATATATTAAAATACAATTTATTTAAATTATATTGTTTACCAATTGTTTAAATGTTCTTATAGAAGATTATTTAAATGGAAATGGCAGTAAAAGTTCAAGTCGTGCTGGTAGTCCTGTAGGGAGTGATGATATTCCAGTTACTGAAAAACAATTAAATATGCAGGATATTTCAGAATCAAAAGATGATTTAACTGTCAATGGATTTATTGATCTATCATATTTCAAAAGGTTAATTTTTTAATTAAAAATATACATTTATATCCCTTAAGTGTAGTATATACAGAAAGTATAATTTTTCATTGATATTTTAGGGAAATTATTTGTTGTGGAACAATATTTAAAGGTCCATATGGAGAAGTAATAGTGGATCCTTCATTAATAAAACCTTGTATCGGTTGCATAGCTAGACAACAACGACAGCAACAAACAAATGCATTAAGTTGCAGCCCTGTGCATAGTTCTGCATCGGCCAGTCCTGCCCACAGTTCTGCGTCTGCTAGTCCTGCTCATAGTGTAGAGTCTGGTACAGAGACTGCAGTCTCTAAACAGACAAGTAAGACATTTAGTGACTCGTCATCAGATTCTGGCTATGATGAATCCTCCAACCAAGGAGTTGCTGAGAGTAAGATTACAAAAATTATTCAAAGTACCAGTGCTACTGTAAAGCCAGCAATTAAGATACAACCATTGAAAAGTGTTCAACTTAAAGCTATACCAGTATCGGAAGCTGTCAGGTTAAAAACAGACGTGCCAATTAAATTGGTACCTATAAAACAAATTGATCAACTATCCTGTAAGCCATTGTCTTTAGTTTCTTCTACCAATGTTTCTTTAAGCAGTAGTACTTCACACTCCATTGTTACCGTCCCAAGCAATCCACTCGTCGATTTTGCCATGCACGCAGCCTCCTCAAGGCAATCAGTCTCTAATTAATGTCAGTCTCTCATAGATTTTTAATTTATTTTTTTCTTACACATAGATAGACATATACTATGATGCAAAATTGTGTGTTAAATATGCTACCATTTACTATCTCAGATTACAAAGGCTCTGGACGAGAGTGTTTAAGTTTTATCATATCGAACACAGAGAGTTTATAACGTTATGAATGGTGAAAAGTGAATTCTTGTAATTAGAAGAACTGTTATAATATGCAGTAGATATATAGTGCTCTTAGGAAAGGTTGCACAGGATCTATGTCCTTGATCGTTGGTTGTTGAAAAAGATATATATAATTCTATATGACATGATCTTTATGGATGTGAGTTCTTGAAATGTGTTCCACGTCTATTAGATGATTCTTATGAGAGATAGTTGAGAAAGGGCACAATGTTTCTACTGAATGCTGTTTGTAGCATAGATTAAAAAAAATACTTATAAACTGCCATGAACTTATAATTGTTAACTTTCCACAGATAGATCTCCAATATGTGAAAAGTTTTCAATTATTTTCTAAGTGTAATAATAGTTATGTACATCAAAATACTGTGATGACATGTATATGTAACATGAGATATAAGATTATTATTCGGCAAGTGGCAGTTTATGGTATCTTCGTTCTAAACGTTAGTTAACGTACTGTATGGATGTAAAAAAATTTCTTGTCCATAGCTTTTGTTTTTCTGGGCTTTATCTAAAAATTGCAATCGTAATTGTGAATATATGTATAGAAGTTCCAAGATGCCAATCAGTTTTCAAACATTTGGGTCCAAAAATTTTAAAAAAGTGAATTCACTTAGGGTCACGATAGCTACATTGTACCAGATGCATTTGATATGATTCATGTAATGGTCCATGACGTTAAAAGTAAGTAATTCAACTTAAGGAATGAATGTGTTCGGGTACTGTAACTCTTGACCCAATAATAGCAATAATACAAAGGGTAACTTTATAATAAAGTAATTAAAGTCTGTTGAATAGCATCATATCAGTATGATGATATATTTAGGCAGTATTACTAGAGAAAGAAATTGAACGAGAATAAGGCAATCAGATTGGCAAACTGGACCAGTAAAATTTGTTATAATATTTCAGGGTTACTGTATAATTAATGTAAAAAAAAACAAATGATTTAACAGCAGATTATTGACATACGATATATAAGTATAATGCTAAATAAGTGAAAACTGTTAGTTCCTAGTTTTTAGAGATGGGCACATGACCGAACAAAAGCACATAAAAGTACCTGTTGGAAGCTGATTAACTGTGATCATTGGATTATTCATTGTTTTAAAAATAGTTTTTTTTTTCTCATTTCATTAATGACATACGCACAAAGATTATCCAAATTTACATACAATGTATTTTTTGTGGAAGAACCCAGGAGTGATCACACGCATAAGTTTTTTAAGACTGTATTATAAGATGCATTTGAAACAACATATAAACTCAATCCTATTAAAAACTAACATTCATAATAATTGTAAACATACAGTTAACATAACTTTAACAACAAAGCCAAAGATATGAGAGAGATAGACATTACTTTATAACAATGACAAATAATTTGGTCAATAGTGCAACCTTTTATGAAAGTGTAATATTTGATTGTAAAATTAAAACTGAAAATTTACATCTGTTGAATACGTAATTTTGATCTTGTATAACAGCTAAAATTTACTCTTAATATTTAAAACGAACAAAATTCGGAAATTTTTATGATTGAATTTAGCTGAAGTAATAATAAAATTTGAGAGTAATCTACTTCTGGGATATTTGCAATTTTTATAATAAACTTCTTCTGACATAAAAAAGTAAAAGTTTACATTTTAAGAGTACTGTGTTTGCTGCCCATCTGGCTTAAGCTCGTTGACAATCGTTATGTAACAAGGAAACGATAACAGTTTTTCATATAGAATCAAACATCGAAACTACAATTTGTCCAAGGACAATGTTTACCACCTTGTCCTTTGACAAATTTTATTGTACATTTCTTTGCCTAGGAGACTTTATGATCTCTTTACTGTGAATATTAATAGCTATGATTTTTGTTGTAACACACACGTTATGATTTATAATAATTAATATATGTTAAGAATTAAGGTGGGATCATAGATAAACAAGCCATATGTTTACCATTATCGTGTAAGATTGATGTTTTAACAGCCAGAAATAATGAATCTTACTACTCAAGAAGCTCAAATTACAATTAAGATTTCTATAATATACTCGTTCAACGCATAGCTAATATAATTTTTTAAATGATCTTTATATCTGCCTATGATCCTTCCTCTAAATGAAAAAATACGAAATACTTGTTTAATTTATTTATTTTGTAAGTTTATTTACTTGCAATATATAATATTCCTTTTCTACGTAAATTTATATATATTTTTATACAAATTAATCTTTGCTTTTTATGAAATAAACTGTCTGTAGCACTGCCGGGGAAAGAAAACGTGCAGACGTTTGATTCCAAGTCAATCTGCTGGCAATATTCGATGAACTATTTATTTTCAATTAACATGAATATTAATGTAATTCTTGAGTTATAATGTATAACTTGAGAAATATATAAATGGTGGCCACAGATTGATTAGGCACTAGAAACATTCGTAAGTGTGCATAAAGAAATTTTGTAAATGGATTTATATACGTGTATAAAATGGTCTCATATTCAAAGTAACATGATTGAGTGATACATAAAAAATACAAATAATTGCGTGTGTTTTAAAACAGAAAAAGTATAACAAATTAAAACTTTATCGATAAAAAGATTATAAATGAATATATTGTGCAGCTATGAAAATAATATTATTTATGGATAATGCTAACAGCTGCGGACAAACATCAAATCATCTTATATAGGTATTGGGATGTTATATTAAAGTTAAGGAAGAACATGTGTCATTTCCAATGTGTTAAACGTTCTTGAGAAAGCAAACTGTTTAAATAAAATAACATAATTAAAGTTTGTGTGCATTGCTGTCATATAACTTAAAGTTAATGGTTTTGTATAAAGATACGTATATAAAATAATTGAACAACATTTAATTTTTGTTTTGATTTATAGGAAATTTACAAAATCTATTGTTTTAAACTATACAGTTTTGTGAGATCTGTTGAAATATTAGTACGTTGTACTTCAAATTTTTATTCTACTTTAATTGTCTTCCTGAAGAATTTTCATTGTAGTAAGTTGTAGTTAAAAGAATTCATATTTACTGTATTATGATTACTAAAATAGAAATATGAACATTTTATACATATGTAATTCTGGATTCTAAATTTCTTTCATGAATAAGAAGATTAGTTATTAAGTCATAAAATAACTTCTTTTTATTAAAAATTCTGTTTTGCTTTTCAGTAAATCTTACAAACATTTTATAAGTTTTAAATAATTGAA